GTTCAAACCGGGCTCTCCATTAGCATTTTCGGTCCCGGCGGAATCTTGCAGGGACGCTTCGACAACGTTTGCCGGAACTCCTGTCGCAACCATTGGTTTCTTGCTCGTGCGTGAGCGTTGTGATACCGACGACGCGCTGGATGTGACGCGTATAGGAGTTTACATCTCTCTCGCAGTCACTGTGGCTATCACACCCGCTACGACTTTCGCTACCACCGCCACCGTAGCGTCGGAAAGCTCCGTCGAGTGCTCCATCGACTCCGTCGTCGTCTCTGCAGCTGTCGACAACCGCAACGCCTCCGTTGTCTCCTTTGCTTCTGGTGACCCCACGGCTTTTGCTGTCCCGTCGTGTCCATCGCCGTCGTTGTCTTGGTCTCGGCAGGTTCCAAAGGACCGACGCTTCGTCTCGCCACGCCAGGGGTTGTTAGCTTCACCGTCTTCTTCCGTGGTTTCTTCTTTACCGTAACTGTACCGCTCTGCTTGTGCTCCGCTTGCTCAGTCCCACCAACGAGCCGTCGCATCCTCCGCTGGTGCCGCTCCGACAGCCCTACCAATAAGAACTGACGCTCATTGCCCGTCAACCGACGGCGCGGCTGCTTGGCCGACAACCCCACCATGCCACCTCTTGTCTTGGCTGCTTTTTGAAGAATGGCAAGGGTTCTTGTCTGACGGCCACCCGTTCTTGAATTGTGACACAGCCCCCTCATTATCCCGTGAATCCGTGGATGGGAGGGAGTACCCTAAGACTGTGTATTTGCCCGTTTTAGCCCCACAAGCTTCTCTTAACTTTTGTATGACTTTCCCTTGAGACGTGCCCAATACAAACATCAAGTTTCATTTCCCGTTATGTTGAGCGGCTAAACATAACATAGATGCCAAAAAAAAAGCTATATACCTCTGATGTGGATAGGCTAAACATACGGGAAGTAAGGGGTTAAAGCAAGCTGTATCAATTCTGCGTTTTGACTTTGGCTGGTCAAACTAAATGTTACTATGTTCGTTCAAGTGTATTTCAGCTGACCATTCTAGTAATTTGAAG